ACAGTATGAGCCATGTGTGGCCCTACTGATGTTCCAGTACACAACTAGAATCTTCCAGGAGCAGTAAAAAAGCATTGCCTATTTCCTTTGGAGCTGGAAGAACTGAAGGTCTGCAGGCTGCAAAAATGGCTTTTGTACCACAAGTCCACTCTCAGCCTACCTTACAGGGTTATTGTGAGATTAAAATGGGGGAGAACACCAATATATACATACCCTCCAACTGCTCCAGTTTGTCAGGGACAATCCTAGTTAATCCACTGCTATCCCACTTTCTCAGTTGCTTTTAACATGTCTCACTTTCTCTCTCATCCTCCTACTGTTCCTTTTGGGCTCAGCTTGCTTCAATTGCTGCAAACTGAGTTCAGTGGAGAAAAATAATTTGTGCTCAGTTACTTCAGCAGGAAGGAGAAGGTGGAGTCTTGCCCTTTCAGAACTCAGTACATATATTCCAGGGTTTCTCTGCTTAAATCTGTATTATGTGTGCTTCCTCAATCATTATTGGCTATTTTTGCTTGGCATACCCTTTTCAGTATATGCTGACGTGGCCCAGCCAGATGTCTCTTGGATTTCATCTCTGAAATGGAAGATATGCATATGTTGCCTAGAACTCCTTGGGGAAAGGAAAGAATCAACACCTGAGCAATATGTACTACAGAAACTCCTGATGGCTGAGTCATAGTTTTCTTTGAAGACCAGACCTGGTGTGCAAACAACCAAAAATATTAATGATCGGTAGGCCTCGTGAATATGTACTACAAGTGCCTTTGAAATCATGGCTGCTGGAAGTTAGATTATACCTTTTGTTATATTTCTTATCCATAACTCTCAGCCTTCCAGATACACCTGCAGAATTTATTCCTTGGCATGCCCTAAAAAAAGAAAGAAAAAGAAAAAACATGATTCAAACAAATAATTAAGACTATGAGAGGGTTCAGGTTCAATTCAGAGCAAGTGGTGAGAATTTAGAACAAAAAAATCATTAACAGGAAATTCATTTTAAGTCATCCTCTGCCAGCAGAGTAGGATTATGCATATATAGTTTGGCTTTAAAAAAGAGTAACTTTTATGTAGGCTGTTTTCCCCCCTGGTGGTAGTAATCTGCACTGGTGTGTTGAAACCATAACCACTTTACTATTTCTTTACTATTTCTTTACTCTTTATTATCCCCCCGCCTGATGAAATACTCTCTAGACACCAACTATTGCAAGGAGAGCAAACAAGAGCCACATTAAGATTGAGGTTTGCCAAAAGCAGAAATAGGCACATCTCAGGAAATGTGACCACATTCTTGAAGTTTGGGGACAAGAATACTTTTA